AGAGATAAATTTGTTGAATTCAAGGAAATAGATGTCAGCTTAAGCCTAGGGTTGGGTTTGGTTGGTGAGCAGATTAAATTGAATGAAAACAAACTTAGTGAAAGTCATTGTCGGAAGTACTTTGGTGTTGGAAAATATGAATTGGATTTGGTATATGAATTTATTTTGAAGCAACACAAAAAGTTGTCTTCAATAGATGTTTGTAGGTTGTACATTTTGGTAGCAATTAGTGAGGTATTGTTTCCTAATCGCAGCAGAACAATATTCCCAATTTTGTTTGAAATTGTTGATAGAATAAGTGATTTGGGAACTTTTTGTTGGGGTCATATAGTGTACCATTATCTACTTAGCAGTCTGTGCAAAGCTTGTACAGCGTGGAATAGAGGAAAAGGTGCAACCACTGTTTATGTGGATAATTGTGTATACGTGTTCCAGGTAAATTTGTTACATGGATTGTTTGTTGTTTGTGAATTGAGATGACTAATTATGACGTATATGATGTATTTCAGGTTTGGTTTTGTGATCGTTTCATTCCTTCGAATGTTTGTGTACATAAATATCCAAGATTTTTGCATTGGATGAATATAAATGTTGGTGACAAGTTCATTAAACGTGCAATGGAGACGGGTGTGGTATGTACTTAATTGTTTTATTACATTTGTTTGAATGAATGTTTTATGTAATGGTAATTGTGATGAAATTGCATATGCTTGATGGTTATGGTGCATCAAGGACAGAAAATAGTCAAAGATGTGTGAAAGCATCAGTTAATTCAAATGGAGAGGAATTGAATAAACAAGAAAAATCAACAATCAATACGAAACTCATAAAAGGTATTAATGATGCTTTAGAGGAACAAGATGTTGTAATTGAAGAACTTGAAGAAGAGTTATCTGGATTGCAGGCTGAGCTGCTTCAAGAGAATAATAAAGATGAAGGTGGTTACAGTACACCCTGTAACCAACATGATTTTTACAATAAGTTTGACTGTGAGGGAGGAGTTTACAACCATGAAACCGTTATGAAGGAAAGAGTACGTCGAAAACGTTACAAAAGCCAAGTTTTTAGAACTCCCTACACTGGATATAGTCCGAAACTTGATTGATTAATGTAATTTGTGATTATTCCAGTATTAGGTTGATGTTTAATTATGGATAGTTGTATTTCGAACAATTTTCTTTTGTATTGCTGATAAAGAAAGTGGTTGTTTCAGTTTTGAATGTTATATTAATTCCATTTGTTGTTTGGTAGTAGTGGGAAGTTTTAATTGTGGTAGTTATATGAAATGTCCAGGTGTGAGGATGCTGTAATCGATTACAGGGGACTTGTAATCGATTACTATTACAGAAATTTGATTTTGTACCAAAAGTATGTCTGCACTACCCAGAGATGGTTAAATAACTCCCCAGTAGTGTTTGGTAGTGTTTTTTCAGTGTTCAAAATAGGGGCACACCCTGTTGGTCATTGTGCAACGTGTTGTGAACCATATTTCAAACAGTCCGAGGTGTATGTCTTTCAAAGAGGAAACGAAGGTGTTCCCAGGTTCATAGTTCATGGCAGGGAAACCTAGGACAATTTAAGGGTATTGTAATCGATTACAGGGGAATCGTAATCGATTAATATTAGAAAAAAATCTCATTTTGTATGATAAGTATGTGTGCGCTACCCAGACATGGTTGAATAACTCCCCAGTAGTGTTTTTTCAGTGTTCCCAGGTTCAGAGTTCATGGGAGGGAAACCTGAGACAAATTAAGGGTGTTGTAATCGATTATAGGGGAGTCATAATTGATTAATATAACAAAAATGAAACTTTGTACAGAAAGTATGTCTGCGCTACCCAGACATGGTTGAATAACTCCCCAGTAGTGTTTGGTAGTGTTTTTTCAGGCTTCCCAGGTTCAGGGATCATGGCAGGGAAACCCGGGACAAATTAACGGTGCTGTAATCGATTACTGGGGACTCATAATCGATTAATATAACAACAATCTCATTGTGTACCAAAAGTATGTATGCGCTACCAATACATGGTTGAATAACTCCCCAGTAGTGTTTGGTAGTGTTTTTTCAGTGTTCCCAGGTTCAGAGTTCATGGCAGGGAAACGTGGGACAAATTAAGGGTGCTGTAATCGATTAGAGGGGACACGTAATCGATTAATATTACAAAAATCTCATTGTGTACCAAACTTATGTCTGCTATCCCCAGACATGGTTGAATAACTCCCCAGTAGTGTTTGGTAGTGTTTTTTCAGTGTTCCCAGGTTCAAAGTTCATGGGAGGGAAACCTGAGACAAATTAAGGGTGTTGTAATTATAGCGGAGTCGTAATCGATTAATATAACAAAAATGAAACTCTGTACAGAAAGTATGTCTACGCTACCCAAACATGGTTGAATAACTCCCCAATAGTGTTTGGTAGTGTTTTTTCAGTCTTCCCAAGTTCAGAGATCATGGTAGGGAAACCTGGGACAAATTAACGGTGTTGTAATCGATTACTGGGGATTCGTAATCGATTAATATTACAAAAATGTCATTCTGTACCAAAATTATGTCTGTTCTACCTATACAAGGTTGAATAACTCCCCATTAGTGTTTGTTGTACCCAGACATGGAAGGATCTTTATAGTAATAACTTGAACTTGTAATACTTGAATATTGAATAAATAAATAACGTATTCAATAACGTAAGAACTTCTTGGAGTACTTTATAACAATAATAAAAACCACGTACTAATAGAATGACTTAAGAACATTACATCAAAGAACAAGTTTTGAAATTAAAAGAGACATAACATTATAGAAAGAAATGTAATCTAAGCAGGTGGTTGTCTCTCAAATTGATTGCGGAATTTAATGACTTCTTCCTGAAGGACTCCAACACGATTTTCAATTGTGTCAAATATTTGGCCCACGAAAGTGCGGAGTTCTTGTATTTGTTTGATGACTTCACTCAATGTTTGAGAAGAGGTTGGTTGTGGATTTTGAGAGGGTTCTCGGACTTCATGTTCTTCATTACCAACTTCCACATCTTCTTCAATCCCTACTTGTTCTTGTATATTCCCAACGTCAACTTTGGGAACCCAAATTCCTTCATGAGATTTGTGATAACCAAATGATGATAGAACTTCCAAACCAATCCTCTGTTTGTTCTTAACTTGGGTAAAAGGATCAGTTTCTGTAGGCACACCAAAGTGTTCCATGAATGTGGTTATTAGATGGGGATATGGTAGTTGGGCGTTGTCCCTGGTAGCCCTTTTCATCCTGTTTCGAATGAGATGCCCTCAATTAATCTGAACAGAATTGATGAGTGCCCACAGCAACATAATGTCCTCCTCTGTTGCCTATGCAACATTCGTTAATCGAGGAACTAATATACGATAAAGTACATAATGTAGTATCCTAGTTTGAAACTTCATAGTCCTGACCAGTATTCTACCTTGTATGTTTGAACCTGGTTTGCAGATCAATTGCCTAGCACTAACAGAATTGTATTCATCTTTCCACTCGTCAACAAGATTTCCTTCAAAACGAGCACCAACAGAAGGGATGGAAGTTAGTTTATGAAAAAGTGAAGGTTTGATTGTGATTTTCACCTTTTTGACCTCAGTTCGAATAACTCCCGAATCGGAAACCCACATATTGCTATAGAAAACACGNACATTACATCAAAGAACAAGTTTTGAAATTAAAAGGGACATAACATTATAGAAAGAAATGTAATCTAAGCATGTGGTTGTCTCTCAAATTGATTGCGGAATTTAATGACTTCTTCCTGAAGGACTCTAACACGATTTTCAATTGTGTCAAATTTTTGGCTTACGAAAGTGTGGAGTTCTTGTATTTGTTTGATGACTTCACTCAATGTTTGAGAAGAGGTTTGTTGTGGATTTTGAGAGGGTTTTCGGACTTCATGTTCTTGATTACCAACTTCCACATCTTCTTCAATCCCTACTTGTTCTTTTATATTCCCAACTTCAACTTTGGGAACCCAAATTCCTTCATGATTTTTTTGATAATCAAATGATGATAGAACTTCCAAACCAATCCTCTGTTTGTTCTTAACTTGGGTAAAAGGATCAGTTTCTGTAGGCACACCAAAGTGTTCCATGAATGTGGTTATTAGATGGGGATATGGTAGTTGGGCGTTGTCCCTGGTAGCCCTTTTCATCTTATTTCGAATGAGATGCCCCTAATTAATCTGAAGAGAATTGATGAGTGCCCACAGCAACATAATGTCCTCCTCTGTTGCTTGTGCAACATTCGTTGATCGAGGAACTAATATACGACAAAGTACATAATGTAGTATCCTAGTTTGAAACTTCATAGTCCCGGTCAGTATTCTACCTTGTATGTTTGAACCTGGTTTGCAGATCAATTGCCTAACACTAACATAATTGTATTCATCTTTCTACTCGTCAACAAGATTTCCTTCAAAACGAGCACCAACACAAGGGATGGAAGTTAGTTTATGAAAAAGTGAAGGTTTGATTGTGATTTTCACCTTTTTGATCTCGGTTCGAATAACTCCCGAATCGGAAACCCGCATATTGCTATAGAATACACGCACTAATTCAGGGTAGTAGTGGCGTCTATAAGCGACAAAATCATTTAGCCCAGCTTTTGTCAAGATCTCGAAGAATTCGAATGTACCATCACGAAAAAATTCATCATCAAGATACTTCCCTTGCAGGATTGGACGCTCAAAGAAATGTGTAGAGAACCTTTCATATTGGTCGTCGTTGGAGAACAGTTCATTACTCGTAACTGGTGGAGAGAGTGGTGGGGATGGCGGTGTCCGATCTGGAGGCCCCCTTCTCGAAGATGAAGCCCTGATTTTCTCGTGAGCTCGATCTGCCATTTGGGTTATTACGATTTCCAAAGGGGGTAGGAGTTTAAATGGTTTGTGGTAGAGGGTTATGAAAGGAGTGAAGTAGGTTACAATTGTATTTAATTGCAGTGTGGTAGTGGGTGACAGCAGTAACAGTCAGGTGACAACAGTAACAGTCAGGTGACAGCAGTAACAGTCAGGTGACAGCAGTAACTGTCAGCGCATTGTGCTCTATAACAGAAAAAAAAAGGATATGAACCGTCTTGAGCAAAAAAAATTGTCAAACATAGTGATGTAATCGATTACAGAAAATATGTAATCGATTACCACTGCATTGCATGTGCTGTGTTTTATATTGAAGGTTTTACCTATAGAGGTTATGGACATCATTCCAGTAACAGATAATGTAGAACCATATCATCCCAAACCCATATATATCAACATTGTGTATTATCTAAATTGTTATGAACGGCAGATAACAATGACATATATCCAATTGGAGCAACTTTAGATAGTTGGGAAACTTCATGGGTTTGGGTTGAATATTCCACGCGCTCTTGCAGTTGTGCAACAGTAGTTCTTGTGGTTTCCTGATTGCACAAAGGAACACATATTACCAACATGTAACAAAAGTAATGAATAATATTAGTATTACAACATTTGAAGTACTTACCGCTGGTTGAACAGTTGTTGTTGAGGAATTTTTCCTTGGAGTCGATTTCCATTTTTAGTTATAGTTTCAACGGCTGACTTCAATCTGCTAGTTCTCGGTCTGCCTTTTCGCTTAACCGCGACTAGACTGCAAACAAGTACATCACTGCTTCCACATGTATTGTACGATGGAGTATCGGTCACAGGATTCTGATACCTTAGTTGTCCTCCCTCACTTATGATGTTATTTTTCAGTGATGAAGTTAAACCGAATTTTTTACCTACACATTCCAATTCTTTTTCCAACTCATTAGAAGCACATTCAGATTCACATGCAGCCTCAGCTATGTCATAGAACCACTTACACAACGATTGGTATCTTTGCATCTTGGGTTCCTGCTGCAAATGACTATAAGATGCTCTAATAAGTGTGTGCTTTCTTCGAACATTTTTGCTCCAACGACGAAGAACATATTTGGAGGGGACATTATGTACATCTTCCTGTCCGAGAACCAATAAGGAATGGCGACATATGATGCCTCTAAACTCAAACAATAGGCAAGAGCACCTTGTATCGTTTGTAAGAGGATCAAATTCAACATGGTAATATTTTGCCTCACATTTCTCATCCCACATGTACTCTTCTTTTATTGTGTAGTTGTTCAAAATACAGTCCTTGACCGTGTTCTTGATGAAACAATTCATCCTGGACCGAAACTCAATTTGTACTTCCTCAAATTTTGCATGTGTGTACTCAACTTGAAATTGTCTCTTAATTAGTGATTGAGACCCACATGCAACATTGGTATTAAAAGAGGAGAAGTCAGCTTCAATTTCTTTTTGGGCCTTGAATTTAAGAGCATTATCATACTGAACCACAAACTGTTGAAGTGTGGTACTGGAATTGATAAATCCATCAAAGAAAGCATTCATTCCCTCACTTCTTTGAGTTGTGTACATACTAGCCCAAAAATGATTCTTCAAGTAACAAGGGACCCATTTTTGTCTCTCTTCATACAAATTACATAGCCATTCATTATTTTCTAACCCATGTGTGGTAAGTAGTCGTTTCCAGCCAATGTGAAAGTCTGTTGCATTACCAGAGTCACAGACAAGCGATTTTATATCACACTTGATCCCAACATAATTGTTATACCCTTGAAATTTTTCAGGTATCTTTTTCATGATGTGCCACAAACACCACCTATGTTTTGTTTTAGAGAAGACATCTTCAATTGCATTTGCCATCGCCTTACATTGATCGGTTACAATACTATAAGGCGCCTTGTTTCCCATGCATCTTAGCCAACATTTGAATAACCATACAAATGACAAAGTGTCCTCAGATGAGAGCAATCCACAACCAAGTAGAATGGATTGTCCATGATGGTTAACTCCTACAAATGGAGCAAATGACATGTCGTACTTGTTTGTCAAGTAGGTGGTGTCAAAAGAGACGACATCACCAAATTCCTCACATGCAGCTCGGCTATGAGGATCTGCCCAAAATACACTAGTAATTCTATTATATTCATCCATTTATATGTCGTAGAAGAAATCATTATTGAGCTCTCTCATTTTTGAAAAGTGATGTAGCAATGCTTGTCCATCACCCTCCTTACACAGTGACCTTCTATGTTGACCAATGAAGTTCCTAACATCCCACTCCACAAATTCCATGTTTTCATATCCACCAGCTTCACTAACTATGCTAAGGAAACTCTTATTAATACGTACATCGGCATCATCATTCACCCCCAAAGTGTGTTTGGCATGCATGTTTAATTGTCTATTAGAACGGATTAGATTGGAGGTTTGTGGACACAGGTCATGACTGTGCTCTACAACCACAGTCCTTAAAAACCATTTGTCCTCTTTTCGTGCAATGGTTATTCCAGTAGGACATTGATTAGTCTGACTAGGCAGAGTTTTCACCTCTGGACGAATGGTGGAAACATATTTACCTTCCCTAGAACAAACCAATCTCAAGTAGTACAATTCGTTGTTGTCATCCTTTTTAGAAGTTCTGGTTCGGACGCCAAAACGACATCTTCTCCCGTACACCGAATAAAATTTCTTTGCTTCTTCCATTGTGTCAAAACACATGTTTAAAGTAGGAACCAACTCATTACAATTGTCATCATCGTCAATGCTTTTTCCAACCACATTGACGTTGTTGGGATAAGTGGCCATCAAAATAATTTATTCCCTGGAAACATTGGTTAATCAATAAAATTTATAATAATAAATCAGTTTTGTTACAATAAATAAACAAACTTATTACACTATAGACATCACTAACAGTGTTAATGAACTGTCTCATGTTGTTTTATTTAACTAAGACGTGTTATATAAATGGTTATGTAAGAAAGAGGACCTATAATGAGGGTTACCCCTACTCAAAAGGAGGAATGAAGAAATCTTTAAACGACGTTATAACCATGTATACTTACAGACAAGGTGTTGGAAGAAATTTACTCCTCCTTTAATGATCTTGTTGTGCTTCTTACCAACCTGGAAAGAATGCCTTTAATGTGTAGTTTAAGAAAGTTCAGAGAAAAACAAATGAAAGTCGACGTCCAAATGGGGAAGAAAAAACACCAGTAATGCACATGGTAGGGATTCATTTCTTTAAGGTACGATCATTTAATGCAAAGTAGATGGAGCAGAAGTTATGCACAAGGTACGAATTATAGTGTTTAAGGAAGGAGCATTTAATGCATTGTCATAAAGTAGGTAGAAGGTGGCAAGACGTGGAGTGTTGCAGTCACTTCCCATTTCCCCACATTAAATGCAACTCTGATTAATTAAGATAAAAGATTTCAAATTGCATGGGAGAGTGGAAAAAAGTATACACCACACTGCTTCATTATGAGTCTTCAAAGTCAGAACAACATTAAATGATAATGAATTAATAATTTTTAATAAATTCAAATAATTATTAAAAATTCATCCTAAATCTTTTATTCGTGTTTATATAAGACCTTACTTTGTATTGCACAAAATGATTATCACATTCATTCGAATCAACTATTTGGTTTTAATTCTCCAAGTAATGTTTCTTGATTTGGTTTGTTTAAAATTTGTACCACTCTTACATTTTGGTCATTAGTATGATTCCTCAACATGCATTCTTGTATTTTATAACTACAGCGACACATACAAGTTCCCAACAAAACCACCTACCAGGTCATGCTGTGTCAATCAACCGCAAGTACTCAATAGCAGCCCATAAGTGGGGAGCAACTCAGTGATAACAGTGGAGCAACCATGCACTTTCGGTACATGTCACTCGTAAGTGATTACAGCGTGCCTGTAATCGATTACAGCAGCCCAATACTGCCTTCCCACCCCTGCCTCAGCAAGCACCTGGAAGCAATCATCAAAACACACTGTTGGGGGCACCCTAATCGTGTCCAATTGCCTTATAACTACATCGACACGTACAAGTTCCCAACAAAACCACCTACCAGGTCATGCTGTGTCAATCAACCGCAAGTACTTAGTAGCAGCCCATAAGTGGGGAGCAACTCAGTGATAACAGTGGAGCAGCCATGCACTTTCGGTACATTTCACTCGTAAGCGATTACAGCGTGCCTGTAATCGATTACAGCAGCCCAATACTGCCTTCCCACCCCTGCCTCAGCAAGCACCTGGAAGCAATCATCAAAACACACTGTTGGGGGCATCCTAATCCTGTCCAATTGCCTTATAACTACAGCCACACCTACAAGTTCCCAACAAAACCACCTACCAGGTACAGGCTGTCTCAATGAAATCGGAATAAATTATCTCGACCGTACTAAATGGGAGTTGTTCAATCAAAATAGGGGAACAGCCATGCAATTACGGTAATAATAAACTCACTCCAATCAAAAAAAAACACAACGAAAATCAATATTACGAATACTTTACGTTGTATTCATTATTAGTCGAAGAAGTTCACATGTACATAAATCCAATAATACGACTTCCAATAGTATAATTTCTACAATGTATATTCTTTTACTAGTAATGAAGAATCTAAACGAAGGACACATTTCTAATGCTATAGTAATCCAAAATGTTGTAGCGTCGTCCAATCTTCGGACGTTGTCCGGTCCAGGATCCAGTCACATATATACTTTTCCTAAACGCAGCCAAGTCTTCCTGAAATAACATATTGGAATTCAAAACCAATGTCAACGGGTCTAATAATGTAATATTGACAAAATTCATAATTTAACATACATTGTATAATCAGGCATGCTTTTTCAATCATATTTCTCCTCTCCATCCCAAATTTCAATAGCTTTCATCATTGATTACACCACAATCGTATCTGTTGAAATTAAAAAAGACATGCATCTATTTTGTTAATGGAAACACAAATTTTTTAACACATTGGTAATATAAATTTATGTGTTGGTTGGACTGGGATGTTGGCTTTCTCAACTAACAAAGGACATTAGAAACCTTCAAGTTTATCCGTCAACAAACCCCAAAACGTTGAATATTTTGAGCTGTATGGTTACCAAATAACACAAACAGTACTTTAAACTAATACGATTTAGAACTTCATTTTCAAAAAAAATTGTAAGAATGTAAAGCTTACAAATGCTTTATTCAATCCGGACAACGTCCTTTGATACCATTGGCAGTGAGTCTATGACATTAAAACTGAAAAGTGCCAGACCTTCGTGCATAACACCACCAATGACCATCAATTACAATTGGGATGAACACCTACACATTTTTGGAATATGTCAAAAATATAACCCACATTAAAAAACAAGTATTTGCTTACAAAGTACATCTACTCACCCAATCGCAGAATAAGGCCTCAAGTCGAACCAGATCTATCGGAAATATGGCTGGTTAGATCAAGAAGTTGCCACACATGTTGATTCACTGGTCGTTTTCCTATAGTCGTGCAGACATGGGTCTTCAATATAAAATTAAAACATCATATAAACAACCAGTCAATGTTAAAATTCTACCTACAAAAAAACCAACAACATTAAATATTAAACCATTTACCCCAAAACATAGGACTGAATACAATCCTCTTTAGACTCCATCAACCTTCTCTCAAAGTACATGAACATTGTTGCTGCAAAAATTAAAGCCTCACAACAATAATAACAACTTCAACATCAAATTTATGAACTTTGTAAATTCAATGACAACAGTAATTAAAGTCAACTGTATAATTACCATGTTGTCTACACATTCCTTGGCCCCTAAAGAGCTACATTCACTTTGGTCAAGAGTTGAGACATAATTTCAGACACGTACCTGAAAAAAAAACAACTTATTAAATCACGGTACCAATATCATTGACCATAAATTCAGTACCAATAAACAACAATTATAAAAAATTATTGTGTTCTAACCTCCGTGGAATGTCTCTTCGCGTAACTGCATGGTAAACATATCCAAATCGGACCACTGTTTTTGGATCACCAACAAAAGAACACAAAGGCAGCTACATTCAAGGGTTCTACATCCACTTCTCCTTCACCGTCATCAACACCATCGCCAACTTCAATGACAAGTATTGGATGGTCACCGGCTACTCCTTCTTCTTTACTACCATATGGTCATCCTGTTCTCATTACGGTTCTTATTCATCTAGCTCATCTTCGTCAGGTTCTTCATTTTCTTCATCTACATGTGGCACCTCCTTCATTACCCTCACCTTCAACATCACCAACACGCTTCAGACCTGAACAAAATGGTTGTAGACAACATCTCCTTCGCCATGCATGAACACCATCGCCAATGTCAGTCAAAAGTTTGGATGCTAAGGGGTACTCCGTTCTTCTTTACAACGTTGTAGAAGCAGGTTTGTCATCTGCTAGGTTGTTCATCTTCTTCATCTGCAGGTTGTTCATGTTTGTTCATCTCAGGCTTCATAATGAAGGAGATTGTTCCACCTTTCGATACTTTAGAGATCACCAAGTACCTTCCTAATAGCCGCAATTTCATCTCTGACTTTTCTTATCTTGAGGTTGTTTGTTCTCAGTTTTTCCTCAGTCGGCTGTAGCCAATTTTCATCATATTCATTTTCAGGTTCGTCTTCTTCACGCTTGGAACCTTACGGCCTCAATCCCTCATCCAAATTGAAAGCACGACGTATGATGGGATTTAAACAATCATTTCACTGAGGTTACCAATCAAATTGTACCTTTGACAATAACAATAAATATACAACAATCACATAACAACAGCAAAAATCATAAAAAATAACAACATAAATTCATAACAAAGTTACTTATCTCGCTAGTCACTAAACATAACATCTATTTGTTTGGTTGTATAATTTAACAAAACAAAATCGCCTAACGCGCGGAAATTCCTTGCGAGAACCATCATCATGCAAAACAAGCCGTTCATACGCCCAAAGCTACAGTTAAAACAATGAAACTAATCCAAAACAGTTATTACTATGGATTGACTTAATACAACAAACAACCACAATAAATCATACCTGCAAAACAACAACATTCCACTTATGCTTCAAAGAATCAGCAATCGATCCAGAAAGTAGTTTCTTATTACATCTATTAGACTATGTACAAGATATGTATGTACAGCTCTACTCAATCATAACTAGACAAACTATCTAAGTCATCTAAGACTAAACAAGGCATGTTCGAAACATATCTTGCCTTCCTAGGAAAAAAGAACACCACATAACAAACTAATACATACAACCGACACACCACATCTACCTCAACTATCATCATTAGCTACAAGCACATTGAACATATCTATGAGGTCTTTCAATTTCGTAGATTTTGAATTAAAGGATTCACAAATTTACCCACAACTGATTTATCAAAAGGAAATCCAAACCCCCTACTCAACCCTAAAAACTCATGAAAACATCTGCACATTGAAAGGCAACAAATGTTGGCTAACTCTAACCGATTGATGTGGGAACCCATCGACGAACCATCTTTTTCAACAAATTTTAGGTTAACTCTAAAGGTCTACAATTTCTAAACACCACTTAAACAGAGTTTGTAAAATGCGATAGTTGTGTATTTCGCTGCAGTAAGAGATTCATGTTGGCAATGTACGATGTATCTATCCAAAGCTCGAGGCCAGCCATATAAAACAGTTCAAAATTTATTAACATACAATTTACTTCTCCAAAACAACAAAGAAAACATCCATCTTTACGTGTCTACTTACATTTTATTAGAGGATTCCATTTTCAACTCTAAATAATAGCGTCTGTCAAATATTCACCTACAATAGCAAAAGCTGATCAACTTACTATTAGCTCAAAATCCTTCCAAAACGCAACTAAATACCATGGAGCTCAGGAATCCTGAATCAGGCTTTTAAAACATAGATTACACAATCTAAACTCAACAATAAAAAGGAGGAAACAACGAACCGCCATACATAAATGCGAAAGGACAATAAATGGGAAACACAGGTGTCGCAACAAATAACCATGGTCAAACTCCAAAAAGCACGAAAAACGCGAACAAGGGACATACAAAATACCTTGGAATTAACAGTCAACCCAATATCCAACAATTACATACGGCGACGTAGAAAAAACCTCTCCTTTCGAGAAAATGTGACAACGCTTGCCCCTTCAATACACTTCCTCCCAACACTTCAATGGCGACGGAGACAAAGGACTTCAATGCCGGACTTCAATACTTGCAAACACGATTTCGAAGGTCAAGAAACACATCTCGGTGCGTGCCAAGAGTTCACGAATGGTGAGAGGCAGAGTTGGGAGTTTATGGTGGACGAAGAATCGAATGAATAACTTGGACAGACAAGTTTCGGGAAAGAGTATGGGCTCCTAGGCCAGAAATTATTCCAAAGATGCCCGTCCAAATAGGATGTTCTCATTTCAAATATTCCAGTTAAAACAGCAAATCACGAGCACGCCACGTGTCGTTGTAATTTGTTAGTCAAAGGCGTTGTCGAAAAACTTTTCCATTGAAATAATAACTTTTATAGTTTGCTCATTTTTATTATTTAGGTCAAATGATTTCATTTATTGTTTAATTTTGTAGAAAATTTTTAAAAGAGTTTCTTTATTTTTATTTGTCTCAATTTAGTTTTTGTTTTCAAAACTTTAATGCAATTAAGTTATTTTCCATAGTATTACAAAAATAAAAATGTGATATGTTAGTTCGTAATTTTTTTATTTTTCTAATAAAAAAATATCAATTTGTATAATTTTTTTGTAAAGATTTATATACAAATTAAATTTTGCTTCAATTTGGAGAAGAATAAAATTCTTTAATTTTTAAAAAAATAGAGCTAAATTAAGATAAAAATAAAACTAGAGTGACCTATTTGAGATAAAATAAAAATATAGGAATAACTTGGGGCAAATACAATGACAAATGGCTTGATAGTGACATGTGGCACTATCAATGTCACGTCACACTAGTATTGTCACGTGACATAATATCAGCTTGACACGTGGCACAATATCATCTTAACACGTGGCACAATATCACCTTGACACATGGCATAATATCAACTTGACACATGAAATTTTTTTATTTTAAAAAATATAAAAAAATTAAAAATTAAAAAGTATTCCAAAAAATCATAAGTTGACACGTGACACCTTCTTTAACGGTGTTAGTGCGGAACTAACCATAATGACTTAATTGCTTTAATTTTTCAAAAATAAGGACCTAATTGAGACAAAATAAAAAGTGAGAGACCTATTTGAGAAAAATCACCGAAAATAAGAACTATCTAAATGGTTAAACCTTGAATAAATCCATGAACGAGGCCATATATGTGACCGTGTTGTTGAGGTTTAAGAAAGTCAGGACTTTGAGGCCATAGGTGGCCAAACGGTGGACACTCTAAAAAGCCAAGACTTGAGGTAGAGGTGGTTGAATGATTGATGCTTGAACAAAGTCAAGAATTTGAGGCCAAAGTGGCCAAATGGTTTATGCTTGGAGAAAGCCAAGGACGGAGGCAAGGGGGCTAAGTAGGCTATGCAGTTGAAGTTCATCAAGGCCAGCATGTGGGCTGAAACGAAACTAGGATTTTGGTGGTCACAACAGGCCATGTAGTCGAAACTAGTTGAGGCCACTAGGCTATGATAAATAAAATATGTTTAGTCTTGAAGCAAGTCATGCAGTTCAAGCTTGATTGAAGTTAGAACGTTGGGGATGAGCAAAGCGAAGATGTCCAATCTTAAAGCAAGTCATGTAGTTGAAGTTGAACTAAACTAGCAGGTTGGGGCTAAATGACTAGGTGATTGACATCTTCCACAACACCGCTCATCTGGTTCCTTGTGGTTGCAATGAGAAACACTCGATTAACCCACGGTGGGTGCCAAAATGTTTTTGGAGATCCTTGAATGGATTGGTTATGTTGTAGATTGGAAGGGTTGAGTCACTCCCAGGTTATTGTTTTTTTTTTGCGTCGCTTGGTTTCCTTGCTATCCACAATGCTCAGTTTTCATGTTGTCCACAATGCTCAATTTTCATGTTGTCCAAAATGCTCGGTTTGCACGCTATCCACTCTTTTCTCAGATCGTACCTATAAAAGATTTTCCGGTGTTAAAATTAATAGATGATCGTTCGTTTAACAATCAATGCATGTTATCTTAAAGTCATACCTAAGACTTTTATATATAGTAGTTGTGATAGGTCTTTATGTTACCAATGAGGAGCATTGGTAAAATTGAAGATAAATGATTTTGATGATGTTGAAAGATGATAGATTGTTATAGTTGTTTTAAAAGCACTTTGTAGATTATAAATGTATTAGGAAAAGCCTTAAACATGTAATACTAGAAAAATAATTATTTCTAGAAGCTCGCATTTAATCGATTATTAGAAGCATAATCGATGATCCGAGGCCTTCTGAAAACCCTCGTTCCTGGAAGAATCGATTATTACTCCAAATAATCGATTATCACGCGTTCTAATGAGAACTGCCAAAGTAGTCTCTGGAATAATCGATTATTCCTTAGGATAATCGATTATTACTTTTTGAAAAACCCTGTAACGGACTCAAATAATCGATTATCACTAACGATAATCGATTATCACTAACAATAATCGATTATCTGTGGTAGTTATAATTCATCTCTGCGAACTTAGACCAGTTGGCTATATAAGTTAGTTCCAAAACTCTTAGAAAGGAACCCTGAGCTTTTGAGATACAGTGTGATCTGAGGAAGTTCCATAAGCTAGTTCATTGCACTGCCTAGTCTCGTGAAAAGGAGAAGCTCGCACTTTGTGGGTCAAAGGTCAGAGCTATTCTCTTCGAGTTGGCAACGCTACTGTTCTTCCAGTTCGTTGGTCGAAGGAAGAACTATTTTGCACTGTTCCGGTTCGTCAGTCGAAGGAAAGTGTAGATTGCTTGCTTCCAGTTCGTTGGTCGAAGGAAGGTTTTATCTCTTTGTTTTTATTCACTTTTATTGCAATTTGTTGAAACTCATTTTAGTGAAATCGTTAATCACTTTTTATAGTGATTAACAACTGGACGTATTCTTTTGAATCGAACCAGGATTAAAAATCCAGTGTGTCAATTTTTTTTTACTCCTATACTCTTTTTTTTTTATGCACATCAACTGTTTGATAAATTTCTCTAAGAAATTGTTTTTCTAAAACGGACCATCAAAACTTGATTTGTGACCGTACACGCTTTTCGAATATTTATTCGTGCGCGGACTCCTTAACGTACCGATTGATTGTTTTGACCAATTTAGCTTTTGTAGGAAAATAAGAAGAAAAAGTGAAAAAATAATGAAATTAAGAGGAAGGAAGAGGGGGAAGGAGTAGGTAGAGGGGGGATGAAGNTTGGTATTGAGAGAGGAGAAGTCAGCTTCAATTTCTTTTTGGGCCTTGAATTTAAGAGCATTATCGTACTGAACCACAAACTGTTGAAGTGTGGTACTGGAATTGATAAATCCATCAAAGAAAGCATTCATTCCCTCACTTCTTTGAGTTGTGGACATATCAGCCCAAAAATGATTCTTCAAGTAACAAGGGACCCATTTTTGTCTCTCTTCATACAGATTACATAGCCATTCATTATTTTGTAACCCATGTGTGGTAAGTAGTCGTTTCCAGCCAATGTCAAAGTCTGTTGCATTACCAGAGTCATAGACAACCGATGTTATATCACACTTGATCCCAACATAATTGTTATACCCTTGAAATTTTTCAGGTATCTTTTTCATGATGTGCCACAAACACCACCTATGCTTTGTTTTAGGGAAGACATCTTCAATTGCATTTGCCATCGCCTTACATTGATCTGTTACAATACTGTAAGGCGCCTTGTTTCCCATGCATCTTAGCCAACATTTGAATAACCATACAAATGACAAAGTATCCTCAGCTGAGAGCAATCCACAACCAAGTAGAATGGATTGTCCATGATGGTTAACTCCTACAAATGGAGCAAATGGCATGTCGTACTTGTTTGTCAAGTAGGTGGTGTCAAAAGAGACGACATCACCAAATTCCTCACATGCAGCTCTGCTATGAGGATCTGTCCAAAATACACTAGTAATTCTATTATATTCATCCATTTTTATGTCGTAGAAGAAATCATTATTGAGCTCTCTCATTTTTTAAAAGTGATGTAGCAATGCTTGTCCATCACCCTCCTTACACAGTGACCTTCTACGTTGACCAATGAAGTTCCTAGCATCCCGCTCCACAAATTCCATGTTTTCATATCCACCAGCTTCACTAACTATGCTAAGGAAACTCTTATTAATACGTACACCGGCATCATCATTCACCCCTAAAGTGTGTTTGGCATGCATGTTCAATTGTCTATTAGAACGGATTAGATTGGAGGTTTGTGGACACAGGTCATGACTGTGCTCTACAACCACAGTCCTTACAAACCATTTGCCCTCTTTTTGTGCAATGGTTATTCCAGCAGCACATTGATTAGTCTGACTAGGCAGAGTTTTCACCTCTGGACGAATGGTGAAAACATATTTACCTTCCCTAGAACAAACCAATCTCAAGTAGTACAATTCGTTGTTTTCATCCTTTTTAGAAGTTCTGGTTCGGATGCCAAAACCACATCTTCTCCCGTACATCGAATAAAATTTCTTTGCTTCTTCCATTGTGTCAAAACACATGTTTAAAGTAGGAACCAACTCATTACAATTGTCATCATCGTCAATGCTTTCTCCAACCACATTGACGTTGTTGGGATAAGTGGCCATCAAAATAATTTCTTCCCTGGAAACATTGGTTAATGAATAAAATTTATAATCATAAATCAGTTTTCTTACAATAAATAAACAAACTTATTACACTACAGACATCACTAACAGTGTTAATGAAGTGTCTCATGTTGTTTTATTTAACTAAGTCGTGTTATATAAATGGTTATGTAAGAAAGATGACCTATAACGAGGGTTACCCCTACTCAAAAGGAGGAATGAAGAAATATTTAGAAGACGTTATAACCATGTATACTTACAGACAAGGTGTTGGAAGAAATTTACTTCTCCTTTAATGATCTTGTTGTGCTTCTTACCAACCTGGAAAGAATGTCTTTAATGTGTAGTTTAAGAAAGTTGAAAGAAAGACAAATGAAAGTCGACTTCCAAATGGGGAAGAAAAAGCACCAGTAATGCACATGGTAGGGATTCATTTCTTTAAGGTACGATCATTTAATGCAAAGTAGATGTAGCAGAAGTTATGCACAAGGTACGAATTATAGTGTTTAAGGAAGGAGCATTTAATGCATTGTCATAAAGTAGGTAGAAGGTGGCAAGACGTGGAGTGTTGCAGTCACTTCCCATTTCCCCACATTAAATGCAATTCTGATTAATTAAGATAAAAGATTTCAAATTGCATGGGAGAGTGGGAAAAGGTATACACCACACTGCTTCATTATGACTCTTCAAAGTCAGAACAACATTAAATGATAATGAATTAATAATTTTTAATAAATTAAAATAATTATTAAAAATTCATCCTAAATCTTTTATTCGTGTTTATATAAGCCCTTACTTTGTATTGCACAAAATGACTATCACATTCATT